ATGTAAGATCACTAGGGGGTGTAAGGTAAATTAAGAAATGTCCTATTTTCTGGAACTGAAAAGTGGGTATAGTGAGACTTTTGAGGATAAAATAAGTCATGTTGATAACATGTGTTTTTAAAGGAAAAGGGAGAAAGGCATGGCGTGTTGCTGGTTGAGATTCTGCATTTGGTTTTGTTGTTGTTGTTGTTGTTTTAGAGACAGGGTTTCACCTTGTCTCCCAGGCTGGAGCACAAACTCCTGGGTTCAAGGTCTCCTCCCCTCAGTCTCCTGAGTAGGATTACAGGCTAGCACCACCATGCCTGCCTCATTTTTTCAAATTTTTGAGATGGAGTCTCGATATATTGCCCAGGCTGGTCTTGAGCTCCTGGGCTCAAGCAGTTCTCCCACCTCCATCTCCCTAAGCTCTGAGATTACAAGCATGAACCACTGGGCCTGGCCTACTTTTTTTTTTTTTTTTTTTTTTTAATGGAAAAGAAGTACCTTAACACTAACACTGGAATACCATAGCCTAACATGGGGCTAAGAAAAAGTGGCCATGAATTACTAGTATGATCCTCCTTATATTTAGGTTATTTATTTAAAATATTATAGTAACAATACACAAATATTTCTGCACATTACTAAGAAAACCTTTGTCAAGGAGTCCATAGAGCAAAAAATGAAAATTCTCCACGCAAACTGTATTCTTTTCTCTGAGGATACCTATTGGTGTGTATTTTCCACATTTTTATGATGTGTTTAATATGTATGTGTTTTTGCTTTTCAAGAAATTTTTAGAATTTTTGTTTCTTCTACTTTACATAAATGAGATCACTTTGTATCTAGTAGCTAGTGATTTTCTTAAATGTTTTATATTTATAAGACACCAGCGCCCAGAAAATGACAATGGGCGTTAGATGGTGATGATGATAATGGTAATAGGTGTAGATAGTGCTCTTTCATTTGCAGGCGTTATTCTCAGTGCTGTATTCACTCCTTTTATGAGGCAGGTATTATTTTCATCCTCACTTTGTAGATGAAGAAATGGAGGCAGAAAAATTAAGGTGCTTGTGCCACTTTGTGCAGGAAATGGGGTAACTGAGCTCACAGCCAGGCCATCTGGCTCCAAGGCCTGGACCACACTGTTGTGCTACTTTTGCATTTACAGGAAAGGGCTAAACACTGACAAAATGTGAGTGCACTATTTGGGAATTTAAGCAAAGCCTCATTGGTAAGTTGGCTCATTTTATTCCCTTCTATGGCAGTTACACAGTTTTTATTCTTAACTCATGTGGGTCAAGAAAGGGTCTTTTGAAATGAAAGGATCAAATCTGAGCTTTCAAATTCTAGTCTGTTTTCTGCTCTTTTCTGCTAAGTGAGTAGATTTCTGAATCAGTTCTGATTTTATTTACCTTCACAGTTTAGAGTGTGCTTGACTTTCATGAGACTTTCCTGTCTCCTGCCAAAATTTGTCTTCCTTCAAATTTGATGTCCCTTGATCATTTTGTTTTCAAAAAAGAGATTGCTATTTTTAGAAACCCAAAATACATAGATCTTGGTTTTTAAATACCATTCTATAATAAAACAAGTCAGGAATCCTTGAAGAAATGATTCCAAATTAGGGGAAATACAAGATGAACCTGGAACATCTTTTAGTACCAGAAAGTGAGTAAAAGAAGAAAAACAGAAAAAAAAAAAGCGGGGGGGGGTGGGGGGGGAAAGCAAGTCAGAGACACAGGAACCAACATGAAAGAATTTTTAGTGACCAACCTGGGACATGTGAACCACAAAATAAATACTGATCATCATGGATTGTCACCTGTGTAATAAATATGTAGATATAAATCCATATGGTAGATATCCATGTGTCTCTGCTAAATTAAATAACTGAAAAACAAGTTGGAGTTTGGGCATAGTGGCTCATGCTTATAATCCCTGTACTTTGGGAGGCCAAGGCAGGTGAATGCTTGAGTATACAAGTTCAAGACCAGCCCCGGCAACATAAAGAAACCCTGCCACTGCTAAAAATACAAAAGTTAGCCGAGTGTGCCTGTAGTCCCAGCTACGTGGGAGGCTGAGGCAGGAGGATTGCTTGAGCCCAGGAAGTGAGGCTTCAGTGCGCCGAGATTGTGCCACTGCACTCCAGCCTACGTGACAAAGTGAGACCCTGTCTCAACAAACAAAAAAGTGAATTGTAGAAAGAGTGGCTCTTTTTATTATTTATTAATTATTATTTTTGATACGGAGTCTTGCTCTGTTGTCCAGACTGGAGTGTAGCAGGATCTTGGCTCACTGTAACCTCCACCTCCTGGGTTCAAGTGATTCTGTTGGCTCAGCCTCCCAAGTACCTGAGATTACAGGCACCCACCATTTTGCCTGGCTAATTTTTATATTTTTTGTAGAGACAGGGTTCTGCCATATTGGCCAGGCTGGTCTTGAACTCCTCACCTCAAGTGATCTACCTTCCTTGGCTTTTCATCAAAGTGCTGGGATTACAGGCATGAGCCACCTCACCTGGCCTGTTATAGTAGAATTTTAATTAGTACATATGGAAGGAATGATGGAAATAATCTGCCAGTAGGCACTTACAAGTAATCATTTTTGTAGGTAAGCACTACCAATGGATGCTATTATAAAATTAGTGAAAATATGGGAAACAGAGTATTTGTATAGTCTGAAAATATCTCTAATTATTAATTACAAAGGAAAAACTAATAACTTCATGGCAGAGAAACCTGACAGACAGCACCTTGCCTGATGGTCAGCATTTACTGGGTTCATGTTGACACCACGTAGCTTGCTACTGTACCCGAGAAGGGCACAAACTTGTTACTGTGTTGTTCTCACCAGAATTGCATAACCTCAATCTAGTAATGAGGAGATGCTAGACAAACCCACATGGAAGGTTGGTAAAACAACGGACCAACACCCTTTGTGAAACTGTCATGGTAGTGCGAAACAGAGACTGGCCACACTTAGAGATTAGAGGAGGCCAAAGAGATGTGACTGGTGAATGCAGGATCCTGGGCCAGGAAAAGGGTAACATGTGATCAGACTCATGAAGTTTCAATAAGGCCTGTTGATGGATTAATGGTAATAGGCCCATGTTAGTTTTAGCAATTATGTAAGGTGTTAACATTAGGGGAAGCTGGATAAAGGGCATATAGGAACTCTGTGTATTCATTACATAACCCTTTTGTTAGTGTAAAATTGTTTCAAAAGTTTAAAAAATGTAAAAAGAAAAAATAGGCCACATATAGTGGCTCGATGCCTGTAATCCCCCAGCGCTTTGGCAGGCCGAGGTACGTGGATTGCTTGAGCTCAGGAGTTTGAGCCCAGCCTGGGCAACATGGTGAAACCCCATCTCTACCCTCCAAAAAAACAGCTGGGCATGGTGATGTGCACCTGTGGTCTGAGCTCCTCAGGAGGCTAAGTTGGGAGGATTGCTTGAGCCCAGGAAGTGGAGGTTATAGTGAGCTGAGATTGTACCCCTGCTTTCGAGCCTGGGCAGCAGAACCAGACCCTGTCTCAAAAATAAATAAATTTAGATGGTATTTCATACATTCAGTAGTCAAATCGTTGAGGTCCTGTCCTGTGCTAGGTACAGTGCTGACTGTCATGGAAAGCAGATGAAAATAGAGCTCCCTGCTCTCAGGGAGCTTACAGAGGCCCAGAAAGTCATGCATACAATTGTCATCAGTTAGGGAATGTCCGTGATGTATGCAGATGAACCTTCAGTGAGTGTAGTAAAAAGAACCCCTAATGTATCTATGGAAATTTACAAATCTTGTTTAGAGACATTTTGGATTTAAATAACTTTGTGCTTAGGTTGAATTCTTTGTAGATTTTGCCACTTTTGCCATTGGTCACCAGCAGTTAAAAGCCTCAGGGTGGGTGGCAGGAAACAGATGTCCACAGTATCACCAGAGTCCCGCCTGTGTGGACATCATTTGCCTCATGCTGTGTGTACTGAAATGAGAGAGAAAAGGGGAAGGAAGGAAAGAGGGAAAAGGAAAGAAATCTGGCCCAGCGCAGTATTGGGTGCCTACTTCGTTTATCGTTTGGAATGGACTGTGTGGGAAGTTCATGGCTCTGGAAGAAAAGGAGGGCGGCGCCAGGTGAGGGTCTGGGGTGGGAAGAAAGGAAGGGAAGGCACGTCCCTTCAGTGGGACGGTTGTGAGTGGGAGCCCCTGTGAAGCCTCAGGGCTCAGAGAGCTTTTCCTTTTTTCATTCCAGAGTGTGTCTTATAATTTTGTGACTGAAAGCAGCTGCTGCTAATCAAGTGAAACCAGTGATCAGTACCTGTTTTCAGGAGCAGAATGTAGGATGCGAACCATGTTCATTTGGGACGCTTCCCAGGGGTGGTCTCTTTGGGTTGCAAAAATAATAACGTGGCAGAGGGACTGCAGGTTTCTGAAGACAAGATGCAGGCAGGACCGTCGTCCTTCTCCTTGTGTTACGGGGTGGGGGGTGAGGCGGTGTTCCTGTTTCAGCTGTCCCCCCTTTCTCTTTCATGCCTCCTTAGTCACCAGTTCCCAGGTTATTTGATTTCAGAAGGTTTAGCAAATAAATTGTTGTAGCACCTCACTTCCATGTGATATTTTGGTTCCCATCTCCCTACACATTTCTTATTTTCTATTGTCAATGAGAGGAGTGAGTGTACCTTGCTCAGGGGAGCTGCGCAGGGACTAAGCTGTTAGCCCCAAATAGAGGAAAGGAGGGTGGCGAGGCTTTCCCCCTCAGGAAAGCAGGGCAGTTCCGTCGCAGCAACCTTCATTTGCCAGCGTCTAGAAACAGCCCCACCGCCGGGGGCTTCATGGGGGCAGTTCTGTCTCCAGGCCCGTCCCTGCGCCGTGTCCCGCAGGTGGATGTTCTACCCTGACTCGCTTTCGTGATGGACATCTCAGATGTGCTCATTTGGATCCAGAGGAGTTAACACTGACGCCTGGATTTTGATCATCAAGATGCTGTAGTTTTAAAAAATTTATTGTAAAATAACTACTTTTTTTTTGGTACAGAATTTCAGAAACTGTGGAGAAGTGTCACTGTGGATTCCATGGACGAGGAGAAAATTGAAGAATATCTGAAGCGACAGGGTATTTCTTCCATGCAGGAATCTGGACCAAAGAAAGTGGTGTGTAATCTCTGGAAAAGCAGCTTAATTCCCTGCCCTGGGAACTGTTAGCCTGCCCCGCTTTCTGCTCTCTCAAGAGCTAGGAGTCCCCCGCCAGTGTTTCTTGGTGTCTGCTGCCCAGGTCACATCTGAGGTATTGCAGGCCTGCAGACCCACGCTGGGTGCTGCTCCAGGCCTGTGGGCACCTTTCCACACCCCGCTCCTCCCAAGCAGTCTTGCTCTTGAGCTCCAGCCATATGGAACCTTCCAGGGTCTGCCTGTTCCCCACTCTCCCACTCTTAAGCTGCTGCAGGCCCTTCTCCCCATTCCTAAAAGCAGGCTGCATCTTGATCTGCATAACCTTTTTCTATTCTTTTTTTCTTTTTCTTTTTTTTTTTTTGAGTTGGAGTTTTGCTCTTGTTGCCCAGGCTGGAGTGCAGTGGCATGATCTCGGCTCACCACAACCTCCGCCTCCTGGGTTCAAGCGATTCTCCTGCCTCAGCCTCCCAAGTAGCTGGGATTACAGGGATATGCCACCATGCCCGGCTAATTTTGTATTTTTAGTAGAGATGGGTTTCTCCATGTTGGTAGGCTGGTCTCAAACTCCTGACCTCAGGTGATCCGCCCACCTCAGCCTCCCAAAGTGCTGGGATGACAGGCGTGAGCCACCGTGCCTGGCCTGTAGGACCTTTCAGAATTGAACGAGGCCCTCCCCTGCTCTGTGAGCCTTGCTGTACTGGTGCCTCATTTTGCCATAGTGACTTTCAGGTCCCTTAGGAACCAGATATTTTTGTCTGTATAGTCTCTAAATCCTGCTCACAGGGGATGTTAGTAATTAAATGACGACTTGTAAATTGCCTTGCACCAGCAAATAAAATCTGTAGTGCAAGGACAAAGCCTGGGTGGGGTGATTCACCAGCACCCTAATTAGCTGTGCGCTGCTCCTCCTGCCTCTTCTTGTCCACTGTCATGATTCATAGCTTGTCATCTGTGTCTGGGGTGGGCTGGCGGTTGGGGGGATGTGTGTTCAGTGAATTTTTAGGACCCACCAAAAGGGAAGGTTTATTGTCAGTGTCCACACATGAGTGTAACTGCAGCCCTTCATGATTTCCTATTGTCTCGTTTGTTGATTTTTTTCATCATGTGATGCTAATATTTCAAGTATATAGAAAAGACTAGAGAATATTCCAGACCTTCATGTGCCCCTCCTGTCTCAGGATTTTGCCATGTTTTCTTCGGATCTTTTTAAAATCAGTAATGGATACATTTTTAGACCTGATAACAGAAGGGCTTCACCACCCCTTTTGTTTTACTTAGTGCCAGGAATCTTTCTGCTAGGTTTTTGTGCCTGCTTCATTACTCCCGATGGCACCTGCATCTCAGGGACACAGAGGCCCCGGGTGTGGTCAGGATGTGTGCTGTGCCCTGTGTGTGCTGCTGGGCGGCAGAGCAGGAGAAGGGTCTGAACCACATCCTCAGCCACGGGCCTCTGGGCATGCTCAGAACATCCTGACTGTACCACCCCTTGGAGCAGCTGTTGTTCCTAATTGTTATTTTTTGTTGTTGTTGTGTTTTGTTTTGTTTTTGAGATAGAGTCTCGCTCTGTTGCCAGGCTGGAGTGCAGTGGTGCAGTCTTGGCTTACTGCAACCTCCACCTCCCAGGTTCAAGAGATTCTCCTGCCTCAGTCTCCCAAATAGTGGGGACGACAAGTGCGCCACCACGCCCAGCTAATTTTCTGTATTTTTAGTAGAGATGCGGTTTCACCGTGTTTGCCAGGATGGTCTCAATCTCTTGACCTCGTGATCTGCCCAAGTTGGCCACCCCGAGTGCTGAGATTACAGGCGTGAGCCACTGCGCCCGGCCTGTTTGTAATTGTCTTTACCTTTTCCTTTAGGCCCCTATTCAAAGAAGGAAAAAGCCTGCTTCACAGAAAAAGCGACGTTTTAAGACTCATAACGAACACTTGGCCGGAGTGCTGAAGGATTACTCTGACATTACTTCTGGCAAGTAGGGAACAGTTTTGCCCTGGAACAGAGTCACGGATACACAATCAAGGGCACTCTTGCTGATGCTCTGGGTCTGAAGACAGTCTTCTCATCAGCTTCTTACAACTGAGGAGAGGAGCAGTTCAGTTTACAGAACAAGTGCAAATTACCAAACTCGAAGCATATATGAGTAGAATGGGCTCACGGGAACTGTGATGTTCCCTCTTAACCTTCTGTAACTCCCTGGGAGAAAGACATTGAGCGTGGCATGCAGGTGTCTTGGCTGTATTTTTCTCCACTTCTAAATGGTTCCTTTCTTCCTCATTTGTTACTTTAGCGCAAGTTTGCCCATAGTCTTGAATGCAATATTTGTTTATTCCAAAAGAACATATTTATAATAAAATCATTGTAGAAGGATTTTTAAGATGTTAGTGAATTCTCTGTTTTGTTTTTTTTTCATTCCTGGAAGTGGCAGGAAGCAGCTGCAGTCTCTGACTTCCACGGGTCATGTGCTGGGAACGCAGTGAAGCCTGGCCTGCGCTGTGTTGCTGAGCATGCAGATTTCACCACTGGAACACAGGTGTGCTGCCTGCTAGCAAGCTGAGAAGTAGAGATGCACTGGGTGTCATTGTTAATGCTTTCTTTTAAAAAGAAGCATCAGTGTTCAGCTTCCTGGTTTCGGTAAGTTCCAGGATGGTCTTCTGCACGTTGAACAAACCTGGGTAGAGTCTCCACAGCAACCTGAACGTCAGCTGTGCCATGCCCCCACCCTCACATGGCCTGACCCAGGGTTCTTCTGGTGGAGACACCCTCTGTCACTGGCCCAGCTCATGAAAGCCATTATCAAATATGTGAGCGTTCTTTAGAGTCAGGGTGACTTACGGGAAATCCATGTGGTTCCTGCTTTCTACGGCAGAGTTCGCATTTTCCTCACCTGCTTTGTGTTCTGCTGTGGTCCATTGGGCTGATGATCATGGTCCTCCTGTCACAGCATGGGAGAGTAGTGGATTATGAAACGAGCTGGCGGTTCTCAGAAGAGGCGTGATGGGAAACCCAGGGCAGGAAGTGCTTTGTGCAGACGACAAGGAGCCTTCTTGCTTTTTCAGTTGTTTTCTTCCTTCTACTTACCTCTCATCCCTTCACAGTGTCACCTGTTTGCTTTGCCTGTTTCTTACCTCCAAGCCCCAAAACGTGGCAGGAGAGGGTATAACTGAGATCCCGACGATAATTTAGAACATAGGAAATGCAGTCTGTCTTGCTTTAAGGGTTTTTCTGGTAAGAAGAGCTTTAATGTCTTGCAACATTAGCTCTCCTGTAAAAAAAAAAATCCAGAGTTAGCTTATCTCTAAGTAGAGACCTATTCTTGTGATCTCTACACTCCATCTTATTTTATGGGCCAGGTCTGGAAGTGCAGTTTGGACATTTCAGACCCCCTCTTCTGTTTTGCACGGAGATGGTCATCACGGCCTCCGTTGTGGGCTCTGTGATCAGGGCCTCCATCTCTGTGATCAGGCGCTTTACTGCCAATTGTGTGTTGGTGGCGACTTCTAGCAGAGCCTGTGCCCAGCAGTACTTCGTGGGCTGGCCTGATAATTGATTTCAGTTATCTTGTCTTAAACTCATTTCAGAAATGACGATCTAGCAAAACGAAGTGACTTACGAAACTGCCATGCTGACAGATTCCGTCGCTTTATCTCATTCACTTGCAGTTTCTTTTGTTAAGCCTCAGTCCACTTGGCCTACTACACATAAGAGCAATTCCTCCACGTACCCCATCTCAAGGCACTGGGGTTGTATCATGTTTGTGGAACATTGTGATAGAAGTGTACTTGTGTTGGACAGTCTTAATAGAGGCACACCTCATTTTATTGTGCTTTGCTTCATATGTCTTCACAGATAGTGGGGAGTTTTTCCCCACATTGAAGGTTTGTGGCAACCCCACTTCAAGCAGGTCTGTTGGAGCTGTTTTTCCAGCAGTGTGGGCTCACTTTGCTAGCATTTTTTTTTTTTTTTTTTTTTTAGCAATAATATATATTTAAATGATATAATTGGGTTCTTTAGGGCATAATGCTATTGCACACTTTCTACTGTCATATAGCATGAACATTTTAATAGGCACTGGGAAACCAAAACATTCGCGTGACCCACTTTACTGTGGTATTTGCGTTATTGTGATGGCCTGGAAGCAGGTCTGCAGCGTCTCCGAGGGCTGCTGTACAGAGAAAGCTGTCTCTTCACAGTTCTTCTGGGTGTCTGAAAACACATCCACCAGAAACTCCAAGTTGAAGTCATGTTCTCGCCTCTGCCCATTTCTGCTGGCTCTGCTGGCCATTTAGAAGCACGTGGGAATGGCACAGCTGGGTGAGTTAAGAGGGTGCGACAGGAGGGCATTTGATCTATAATTCATCACCATCATGTGAGGCTTTTAGGGGATAGCTAAGAGAAGCGTAGTTGAGCCTGGACAGTGTAAAAACTGAACACTTGGCTGCCGCTGTCATAGCCTGTAAGTGTGGCCAGATGATGGATGGACCCAGGGGACAGAGTGGCTCTTGACACCTGTTGAGCGGGGGCGTAGTGGAAAGGCAGCGTGGGACATCCGGTCCTTCCGGCCCCAGCGTTCACAGGCACTGTGTGTAGACAGCCCTGGGTTTATCTGTGAGAGGTTTGAAATCTCTAGCAGCAGAATGGGATTCTGAGTGTGGGCGGGCTTGTGGGTCGAAGGTGTTTGGCTTGTCAGTTCCCCCAATTCTTAGTTAATAGTGATTTTTTGAGGCATATATGGGACTCAGTGTCTCTTCTTCCCTTTGGCCACTGTTTTTACTTTCAGGTGACTCATTTGTGGGGAGGATTTGGGGGTTTTTTTTTGGGACGGAGTTTCACTCTTGTTACCCAGGCTGGAGTGCAATGGCGCGATTTTGGCTCACCGCAACCTCCGCCTCCTGGGTTCAGGCAATTCTCCTGCCTTAGCCTCCCGAGTAGCTGAGATTACAGGCACGCGCCACCATGCCCAGCTAATGTTTTGTATTTTTAGTAGAGACGGGGTTTCACCATGTTGACCAGGATGGTCTTGATCTCTTGACCTCGTGATCCACCCGCCTCGGCCTCCCAAAGTACTGGGATTACAGGCTTGAGCCACCGCGCCCGGCAGATTTGGGGTTTTCTAAGGTTTGACAGTTGAGAAGCTCAGCCTCGCGCTGAGCGCACTGCGCATTCTGCATCAAGGCGGAGCAGCCAGTTCGGCGTCTCCCAGGGTGGGTTTTCGGGGCTTGTCCTGAGATGAGCAGGTGTTCTGTGGGACTTGTGGTGGGATGGTCCAAGGACCTCTTGGAAACCATTTTTCAGACTAGGCCTTAGAATACCCTTCCCTGGCCTGTCTGGAGTGTTAAGGGAGGCAGTGTTGGAAACTCAGACCTGAAGCCGGCGCTGGCGCTACTGTTGGCCTTCCTCTGGCTGCAGTGTAAGGAACTAAAGTGCATTTTCCTTCCCTGGAAGGATTTCCATTAGAAATAAATGTCGGCCCCGCTCTTCAGCAGATGGGCAGGGGCCAATCCCCTGTGGACGGCTCAGGGCTGCAGGACTGATCCAGCTCCAGTGGATCGGGGTGAGGCCAGCACATTTGTGTGACTAAGCATGTGGTTCCCAGACCCTGGGGAAAGCCCAGCGACTTCTGATCCAGCCAGAACTTTGTGGGGCTTGCATGTCAAGGGAGAGAAGGCACAGACTTACCTTTAAAGTAAGAAAACACAGAAGGGTGTCAGCGGGGGAGAACCTAGTAAACCATATCCTGATTTGGGCAGGACCAGCTCTAGAAGCGCCAAGAGCAAGTTTGTCCCGTTGGTGGAGATTGTGATGTTTTAAGTGCCTGCCTGCCAAGTCCCCGTACAAAGGGCTGTGTTCTAGTTTTAAGGAAAAAAGTGCTCTTTTTGTCCAGGTAAATATTTTGTGTATTTCTCATTGCATTTAGGCCTGCCTTTTTGCTCAGAAGCTTGGGTTGACTAAGCATTCGGTCAAGTTCTCAACTTGGTATTAATGACCCCAGGCAGAGTTCCATGTGAATTTCTCCACTGGACAAGTGGAACACAAGGACCAGAGTTTTCTCTTCCCTCAGATCGTCCATAGGTGAGACGTATGTGAGCGGTGGAGAATGGAAGCCTTCACTGTTCTGTTCATAGTTACTGGCAAATTATTATGGTTTGTAGGAAGATCTCCTAACCTGCTGCCCCCTAAGTAGGAATGAGTGTGGTTGGAACTGGGTTCGCTGGAGAGCTGCAGAGGCCTAGTTCTCACAGCGCACCAGCAGCTCTCAGGACTGGGGTAGCTACAGAGCCAGGCCAGTTCACGCAAGAGTGAATATTAGTTCCATCTGGGATAGTAACAGGGACAGATAGCTTTACAGTGGCAGTTACTGAAATTTCCTAATTGAGGGTTTTCAATCAAATTGCTGACAACATGGTTTTTCAGTATCCCAGTTGTTAGGGTTTTAGGAGAGGCATTTTGAGGCTGAGTGTTTCGAATAACACCTCACTGGTAATGAATATTCGTAGGTTTTCTATGTAGGCTGTAGAAACGCAGGCTGTTTATGCCATGAGGGTGTGGAGAGAATGGTTTAGGACTTGGTGAGGAGAGCAGCCGTGTGCCGGAAACTTCCAGCTGGGTAACAGCACTTTTGGGAACCTGTCCATATTCTTAGCACAGATCATGTCTTGCCCACCAAAGCACTCAGAAATAACTAGTTGAAGCTGGGACCTGTGGTGTGCGCCTGTAGTCCCAGTTACTCAGGAGGCTGACGCAGGAGGATGGCTTGAGCCCAGGAGTTCGAGGCTATGGTGAGCTATGAGTCCGCCACTGCACTCCAGTCTGGGCAACATAGTGAGACCCTGTCTCTTAAGAAGAATTACTTATTTCTCAGTGTTACCCTGACAGACACTAAGAATTCTTGTGTATTGGAACACAGAATTCAGGAATAGGGCAGTAACAACTACAAGCTAGTCCACGAAAGTAGGGCAGACACACGTGCACGCCCTGGGCCCAGGTGTGATTGACTGGTGATGTAATGTTCATTTTGTGAATTGTAAGTTTCTTTTCAAATTCCTTTAATCTGTAATTTTGTTATAGAAGTGGAAAGCATGGGATTTAGTTTCAGATGCGTTTTATAGTTATATTAGTTTGGCATTAAAAAGGAAAGGTTGTTTCATTTGGTAATCACATAGAAAGATGGGCTTAGTTCCCATCTTTCTGGAGCCTACAAATTGGGACATTTTGCATGGGTGCAAGAGCAAACAGCCTGCCTTTTTCTTATCCCAAGTTCTTGATTCCAAAAGACATATTGCATTAATTCCTGCTCAGTAGAGTGACAAAAAGGATGCACAGACCCTACTGAGGCTGGTATTTGGCTGGTGACTCGGAATGTATCTGGAGGTCACACTAGCTTAGTAAATACCATCCAGACTTGTCACGTGCACATCATGAATGACCATCATCAGCATGGGGATGATCGGGGCACTCATCTTGTTGAAGGCCCCCTGTAAAAAATCATAGGTGACTGTTCAGCCAGTGACTAGCTGGGACAGTTCCAGCAAAGCCCCTTAAGGGCTCATGACCCTCCATTCCTTAGCTGTTTGGCCAGTCTCTGGTGCCTATGAGTTGGAGCTCACAGGTGGACCAAAGGCAGATCAGGTCGGCCTAAGAGCCATGCTGGTGTGGCCTTCTGAGCCTGGGCCAAGGAAAGCTGTTAGCCTCCTAGTTACATGAGCTGGAAGGCAGTGGACACGACCTGCGTTTGGTGGCTCCTCTCCAAGGCAGGCTGTGAGCCTAACTACAAATCATTGCATTGTCCAGCAAGACTCAGTGTTGGCTGTTGGCACTGCTTGGATATAAGCACTACTTTTTGCCTTTTTTTGGGGGAAAAAAGAGTGGGTGAGAGTGTGTATAAAACACGATTGTCTTGGCAATTGGTGCCTGGTTTTCCACTTACTTTTTATGGTTTTGGAGACAGGGTCTTGCCCTGTGGCTGAGGCTTGAGTGCAGTGGTGGAACCATGGCTCACTGCAGCCTCGACCTCTTGGGCTGAAGCCCTTCTTCCTCCTTGGTCTCCTGAGTAGCTGGGGCCACGGGTGCGTGTTAGAACACCTGACAATGTTAAAATTGTCTGTAGAAACAGGATCTCGCTGTGTTGCCCAGGCTGGTCTCAAACTCCTGGAATCAAGCAAGCCTCCTGCCTCAGCTTTCCAGTGTTGGAATTACAGTTGTGAGCCACCATGTCTGGTGTAAGATATGTTTAAGTCAAGCTGAGTCAAACTCCCTTGAGGTCCGTCTGCCTCTGGTGTCATTGGTCAGTCACCAGCTGCTGCGGTCGTGCCTTTACAGGCTGATTCTCTGGCTCTCCCCAGTGTCTGCTTCCTTCTTTAATCTCTTTGTGCCTAAGCTCAATGGCCAATGCTTAGCTCTGCCAAAGCCTGAAAATGGCAACAAAATCTGCTGGCCTCTTGTCTGCAGTGTGGGATACATGTAGTTGGTCTTGCTGAAAAAGAATTTGTCAAGCAATGATATGACAGCTGGAATAAGCACTTTATTTTTTAAAAACGACCATAGAAAAGTACCTTTAAACAGTTATAAAAGCATAATAGACTGTGTCGAAGTGGCTGTTTTCCTTAGAGAGGAGTACAGGCATCTCACCAAGAGCCATGTGGCACTGAGGGCATAAGCAGGTCCTTGAACACCAAAGTGGCTCCGTCACAAGTCCCCGTGCTAACTGCCCTTTCCCCTTATTTACGGTAAGAGCGGGCCCCTCACTCGTAGAGTCTTGGTAGTTTTTTGTGGTGACCTTTAAAAGCTTCTTGACATCTTTATTTCTAATGGAAAACAGGAGAACACAAACCAACCAGGTAATCATCACATTGAAATTTTCCACAGAAGCTGAGCAGATCAATAGGAAAGCCTGTGATTGTGTTTGGCAGCTGAATTTAGGTCACTGTGGTTTTACAGATGCCTCTTGTACGAGGGGGAGCGGTTGAGCTGTCATAAACTCTGGAGATGTGTCAACTGACAACACAAGACTGACTTTGATGAAGTCTGAGTAGAACTGGTTCCAGTGCCCAATGCTTCCGTCTCTGTGCGGTGTGGCAGGTCATCCTCATAGCACACGACATTCGGGAGCTCATGGTATGTGGTCCATTTGGCCCCGCGCCACCAAGAGTTGGGAACACCAGCTCAATTCACCGATGTTTTGCAAAAATCACTTTGGAGACAGAGACATGAGCTGCCCGCTGCAGCCAAGTGGGTTGGGCACAGCCAGCCCCTCGTGGGCCGGGGCTGGCCTCCCAAGCCAAGGTAGTCCCTTACCCATGAGGCGAGCCCTGCACTTCCACTGGGGGAGCGGGGCTGCCGGGCTGGCTTGTGGAAGGTGAGTTACACACGGAAGCATGCAGTTACAAAGGAAACAGAAGACTGCAAAAATGCAACACTCGGCACACAGTTTATAGTCGCAGCTGGAGCTGCCGGGGCACACTGACCTGTTCTTACCAATGCTTTCTTTGCCCAGTTATGAATAAGCCATTGGTAGAAGCTCCTGGGGGCTTCCGGTTGATTGTCTTGCAGGGTTGTCTTAATGGAACTGGGATTCTAGACCTAATACTGCAGGTAACAGTTCTAACAGCTACACCACGCTAATATACCCTAGACTCTGGGTAGGCACAGATTTCTATATAGTCACAATAAATTCTGGTTAATATTTGGAAACATGCCTCAAACATGCAGCTTACTTTAGAGGAAAAAAATAGATATTTTTAATTACAAGCATTCAAAAGTCAAGCACAAAACAGTGATCCAACCCTGTGCAAGATCGTCCATCCCGGCATACTTAAAATGTTTGTTTGGTATAAAAATACTCACTTTTCTTGGTTTTATTGTTGACTTCTCTTACGTTTCGTTTGAAAATACCTCCAAACTGTACAGAAATGTCAGACCATGCATTCACAAATAACACACTATTTCTTACAATTATACAGTGTAAAAGAGTAAAACATTTTTATTATATGTTTTGAGAAAAACAGATGTGTGATAGAGGCTGTAGCAAAGTCTTGAAGGGATCAAAACTGGGCAAGGTTTTTTCAAGCCTGAAACAGAAAGAAAACATGAGGATAGCAGGCATCAACCCTCCCTAGTTGTGATGGTTTAGATGACAGGGTGCAGACGAGGTAGAAAAGACACACACATGTATGCGTGTCAGTGGTCTCGCCTTGATTAGACACATGGGTCAAGGCCTTGACTCCCAGTCGGAGAGCCCCATCCTGGCCCACAGGTTTTCTTTAAAAACAACTCAGCCCTTCTGTATTATTCTGTCACTCATTTTCCTTTTCTTGCCATCTCACACACATTTGAGAAGTTGTAGAAAATGTGTATACAGAAGGCAATCAGCTCAGCATACACTAGAATTTTCTATAGGGAGATGCTTATTTGTGTGCAGAAAGAGGCTATAAAGAAAAACAGATCATTACTGATAACCTATCTAAATGTCCCAAGTTAGATTTGGGAAAATGTGTTGAGCAGTTGAGAATATTTAGGTGACCACTGAAACAGCGTATGGGATGAGCTTGTAAATGTTCCTACACAAACCAAATCTGTCCAAGTTGGATCTGACCTGTGACCCAGTAGACCTTTTTTTACTTCCGGTTTTTGGACAAGAGTACGAGTGGGTAGCAGTAGTAACGGCCTGCAGGTCTTCAGACCGGCAGAGCTTTCCACTGCCCCCAGACCTTTTCTGTGAAAGGGGACTAATAATACTTGCCTGTCCCTTCAGGTTGTGGCAAATAATGACATTAGTCCTAGTACATCCATTTAAGGATGCTTACTGTACAGAGAGCCCTCAAGGCAGCCAAATCCAGACGCACCCCTGGCCTGTCAGTCTGTCCCTTACACCGCTGCCCCCCCACTCAGCCCTGTCCTCTTGGCTCATTTGTTCCTTCCACTCTGCTGTCACCATCTCAGGGCCACCTCTGCGCTTCTACCTCGAATCTTTGTCCACTTTGCTTCGGGTAGCAAGACAACATTCCTAAATCACTCTCCACTCCTGCTCGTCTTCCCAGATGCCTAACACATCTTCGGGGCCTTGAAAAGCTTGGCCGCTTGGGCTTCCTCTTCTGAGCTCCCAGCAGGGGTTCTCACTGACCGGGCTACTTTGACTTCCACAGGCATAATCCTGCATTGTTATTTGCCTCTCTGAGACCATCTCTTCCTCCTCAAACCCCAGACACCAGTTACTTGCAGGGGCCCAATGCAAACCTTCCATTCACACAAACTTAAGACTGAAGGGCACACGAAACAGGAGTGACGGGTCATTTGTGGCACGTTGTCACCGAGACATGGGCCCCAGTGTGGATGATGTCTGGCCTGAGAGCAGGAGACTAAGGACGGAGACCCACTTTGGGTTCTGCACACCAGCCCAGGGGCACCCCGAGCCCTCCATGGGCAGCTGCGGCCCCAATGAGGGGGATGTAGCACTTCCAGCTTTCCTGGGCAATAACACATGTTGTTATCCCCATGCCTCAGCCCCTGAGCAGGAGGAATGGCCGCCTAGGAGGGCTGAAAGGAGAAGGAACATGGGTGGGAGGAAGTCTAGTTTTCTGGGCCTTCCATAACTGCTGTGTAAATGGAATCCTTGCATGGGAAAGGAATGTAGTCACACTACCACAGATGATCCCAGACTGAACAGAAGGTCAAAATGTGGCTATTTCAGTCCCTGTAAACAAGGAAGAGGTTTAGCTAGGAGCGGAGTTCAAACCTTGGAATGTCTTAACAAGGACATTTTAAACAGAATCCAAAGACATCCGGGAACACAGCCCCACCGAGGGATGGCAGGGTTGGGGCTGGGAACACATGAGGCTCTGATTAGGAGCAGGTTCTCCTTGCGGGACCTTCCTGGAAGCGGCCGACTATGTCATTCATCTTCAAAAAATCAGGTACTGATATTAATTTGTAACAGAGACATTAGGGGCATAGTCTTCTGCAGTTTGTAACTCCACTCCAGCCCCGGGGACTGATGAAAAGTGGCCCATCTCTGTCCTCCAAGGGTAGGTCACATAAGCAGTGTCTGATCTCAGATCGGGGAAGAGAAAAGCCCCCTCCAGACTCACCGCTGAAACTTAGGGACGTCCCCAAGAAATAGTGAGCCCCACCTTAACATAGCTGGTGCTGAGAACGCCATGTCTCCCCTATGCGCTGGCTGCTGCTTTCTCAGGCCCATCTGGGGCATCTGCAACCTGACCCTCCTCAGCTGACCCCAGGACAACCACCCAGACCTGCCCTCCTCTTTTCTGTCCCCCGTCACTAGGCCCTTCTGTCGCCTGCCAGGAAAGCTCCCCTCTCCATGCAGTGTTGATGCTTTGGTTAACTTGCTGCATTTAAAAATCATGATGTCGAACTAGCATTCAAAAATTGCATAAGTGGAAAAAAAATGTCTAAGCAGCTTAATTGGTTTTGAAATATCCCCAGGAGGAAGAACAAAATCATGTCTTTTAAAAAAGTTTGAGTGATGACCACAAAGAGCTGTGACAGAAGGAAAAGCTCGCACAGTAGAAGGCTGTGGGCCTGGTGGGATAGACCCGGCTGCCCCGAGAAACAGGCACCAAGGGAAAAATGCCCAAAGTTCAGGGTCCTGTGGGAAGGCTGCCTGGGGTGGTGGGAGGGGCTGCTCCACGACACACACCTAATGCACGCTCCTGGGACGGCACTGAGGACCGTCGGAGCATGGAGTGACTTAAGCCCCTCAAATGCCATCCCACCTCCTTGTCCAGAACTGCTTGGTTCTCTGTCCGCAGCAGGAATCTTGTTCCTCTCGGACTCCATTTTTTTAAACCCTGCTGCTTTATTTAGGCTGAGACATAAACTGCCGTCAGCTCACCCCTGGTGTTCTTGCCGTTCTAAGCCAGGCTTTCTAGAGACCCAGCAGCCCCTAACATGTGGTACCTGGCAGGAAGGTCACCTCTGGGGATGCTACGTGAGGATTTTTTTTTTTTAAGACTTCACTTCCTGCTAGAAGCTAAACAAACTGAGGAGAGACAGGTGATACTGACTGAAAAGAAAGATCACTAAAACCATTACCTGAATGGCCCACAGTCTGGAGAAATGCACTGAGAATCCTATGATTCAGTCATGCCCAAGGGTAATTATACTAGGTCCCCAAGTCATCAAGAAATGGCTGATTATACTCAGTATAACTGGATTAATAAGATGGGGGAATATACACATTCCAACAAAATGATTAATTCCGCCATACCCCCC